CCTCAGTGACGAAGAAGAAGACCAAGTGGGTTCAGGTTTTGGGTAACGGGTTTCGGGTGTAGTACTCATCCTTAAGCCCAGATCAGCAGGAGCTTCAGATCAAGACCCGAATCTAGACCCAGACCTGAATCCAAATCCAGATCTAGATCTAGGAGACTTGGTTCAGATCAAGTCAGGTTAAGACCAGACTGGTTTGATCCAGACTCAGCCGGTTCAGGTCATTCTACTCCGGTTCTTCAGTTTTTAGCTCCGGTTTAGTAGTCCAGCTCAGTTGCTACTCCGGTTCTTTGGCTTAGTGTGGTTCTACAGTCCGATTCAACGGTCTAGAAGACTTCTACAGTCCGGTTCACCTATCTTTTACACCGGTTCAGTTCGGTTCACCTATTTTTTACACCGGTTCAGCCTGGTTCAATACATTTCTACTCCGGTTCTTCAGTCCAGCAGTCCCATTTCCTCTGGTTTGGTATACCCGCAGTCTGGTTCATTTCTTGTTTGCTATTTGGTGCACTATTATGGAACCCAAGCAAGATACCAATGAGACTAATTACACTTTGTGGTCTCGATCTGTTCAAGTCTTTCTTCGAGGCAAATGATTTAAGAAATATTTGGTGAATCCTAAACCTAAGGAAAACACTCCTGGGTATGATCAGTGGGAACAAGAGGATGCTCAAATTATTTCTTTACTATTGAATAACATTGAGCTTAGTATTAGTTATACTTTGCTCTACGTTGACTTTGTCAAGGAGATATGGGATCACTTGGCTACTATGTATTCTGGTACGAACAATTTTACCCGAGCTTATGAGGTGTGCAAGGAGTATTTCCAGCTGGAATAGAGTAATCTGAGTATTGAGGATTATTACTCTCACGTTCGGGGTGTCTGTGAGGAGATGAAGATGTATTATCCGTTTACTACCGATACAGCAGTTTGGCAGAAGCAATATGAGGACATGAATGCTGTTAGGTTTTTGGTAGGTTTGAAACCTGAATATGAGGGTATTTGTTCTTAGATTTTGGGTGGGTTCTACTATTCTCTCACTACTTGAGGTTTTCTCTCGTATACAACGTGCTACTTTGTCTATTTCAGGTATCAATCATGGTATTCCACTGATTGCTCAGCTCTTGTGGTTCCTAGTAGCCATAGTGATGGTCATCGAGGTGGTCGTGGTGGTCATACGGGACGTCAAACGGGTGGTTGTGGGAGCTGTAGTGGACCACGTTCTTGTACCCACCGTGGTCGTGGAGGACACATTGTTGATTTCTGTTAGGATTTACATGATAAACCTTCTGATACTGCAAATCAAGTTTCTTATCAGGATGACACCTCTGTTGCGGATTTCATACCTCGGTCAGCTCCACCAGACACTTGGTCGGTTACAATTACACGAGAAGAGTATGCTTAGTTCCTGTCCCAACAGGCTATTCCATCTTCCTCCACTGCTACTTTTGCCCAGTCAGGTACTGCTTTTACTTGTTTATTGTCCTCCACTCGCAGTCCTTGGATTATAGACTCTGGCGCCTTTGACCGCATGATTGGTGCGTCTGATGTTTTTTCTACTTATTAATCTGTTACTTTCACACGTAGTGTTACTCTTGCTAATGATACTTGTTCTAAAGTTTCAGGTCTGGGGACTACTCACTTTATTCCTAATATGTCTCTATCTTCCGTGTTATTCGTTCTTCAGTTTCCTTTTAGTTTACTTTCCATTAGCACGATTACCCGTTCTCTCAATTATTTTGTAACATTTTATTCCTCTTATTGTGTCTTCTAAAATCTCAAGACGAAGAGGAAGATTGGTATGGGGCATGAAGCTGGTGGCCTATATTACCTTGACTTTGATTCACCTATCCGGGCTCTACAGACCTCGTTGTTTCCTTTTCAATGGCATTGTCGTCTTTGACATCTCTCTCTTCAGAATTTGAAACACCAAGTTCCCAGTCTTAGTTATGTGTTGTCTTTGTCTTGTGAAGCTTGTCAACTTAGTAAGCATCACCGTGTGTCATTTCAGTCTAGAGTCAATAATTGTGTGTCTAGTCCATTTGACTTAGTCCATTCTGATGTATGGGGTCCAATAAGAAATATTTCATCTAATAAATATCCTTATTTTGTGACATTTATGGATGACTATTCTCGTGTGACTTGGTTGTTTTTGATGAAAGCTCGGTCTGAATTATTCTCTATATTTGAGACTTTTCGTAAGAAAATAAAAACTCAGTTTGGTTGTTGTATACGTACTTTACGTTCTGATAATGCTCGGAAAAATGAATCTGATCATTTTTCAGCTTATCTTAGTAAAACTGGTATTATTCATCAGACTTCTTGTGCTTACACCTCTCCACAAAATGGTGTTGTTGAACGCAAGAACCATCATTTGTTGGAAGTCACCTGTGCCTTGTTATTTCAGATGAATATTCCTCGATATTTTTGGAGTGATGCTGTTCTTACTGCTTGTCATCTTATTAATCGTATGTCATCTTCTGTGTTAAATGGGCAAAGTCCATATTTTGTCATTTTTTCTGGTAAGTCCTTATTTTTCCTGACTCCTAAGGTCTTTGGATGTGTTTGTTATATTCACAATTTGGGTCCTGAGTTTGACAAACTTGACCCTCGATCTACTAAATGTGTATTTCTTGGTTACTCTCGCATGCAGAAAGGGTATCGTTGCTACAGTCCTTCTCTGCACCGATACTTTACTAGTGCTGATGTCACGTTTAAAGAATCTGTTCCATACTTTACAGTACCTTCTCAACCTTTGGATCTGGATTTTGGATCATCTCTTGTACCACCATTTCTTTCCTCGTTTTCAGACATTTTGCTGCCCACTGTGTTACCATCTACATTACCTCTTTGTGTTTACTCTCGCCGTCCTCGCCCATCGACTAAGGTGTTCGTACCGTCTTCCTTGTTGCCTTCTGATCCTAGTCCATCAAGTAATTTAGACTCTTTACCTATTGCTCTTCGCATAGGTACTCGTTCGTGTGTTACTCATCATCTCATTTCTCATTTTGTTTCATATGATGCCTTATCTCCTGACTTCTCCTGTTTTACTTCCCAATTATCTGCTATATCTGTTCCTAAACATTTACAGGATGCATTATCTGATCTGGGTTGGAGGAAAGCTATGGAGGAGGAGATGAATGTTTTACATCATAATGGGACTTGAGATTTCGTTCCTTTACCCCTTGATAAACAGATTGTTGGCTGTCGTTGGGTGTATACTGTTAAATTTCATCCAGATGGTTATGTGGAGCGTCTCAAAGCCCAACTTGTTGCAAAGAGTTTTACTCAGACTTATGGTGTTGATTATGAGGAGACTTTTTCTCCGGTTGCCAAAATTTCCTCTGTTCGTATCTTGATCTCTTTGGTTGCTAATCTTAATTGGTCATTGTTTCAATTAGACATCAAAAATGTCTTCCTATATGGTGACTTGGTTGAAGAGGTATACATGGAGCAGCCACATGGGTTTACTGCTCAAGGGGAGTATGGTAAGAGTGTATGTCGATTAAAGAAATCTTTGTATGATTTAAAACAGTCACCGAGAGCATGGTTTGGTAAGTTTTCAAATGCAGTTTTAGAGTTTGGTCTTCTTCGATGTCAGACGGATCATTCTGTGTTTTATAGATAGACAGATGCTGGAGATGTCTTATTGGTGGTCTATGTAGATGATATTGTGATTACTGAAAATGATTCTGAAGGGATTGCCAAGTTAAAAATATTCTTACATGATCGATTTCATACTAAGGATTTGGAAAACTCAAGTATTTCTTGGGTATTGAGGTGACTCGATCTAAACAGGGTATTTGTTTATCTTAGAGGAAATATGTACTTGACATGCTTGACGAAGCAGGTTTGCTGGGTGGTAGACCGATTGATGTTCCTATGGATTCGAATAAGAAATTATTAATGGATGATGGCGCATTGTTTGAGAATCCGGGTCGGTATCGTAGATTGGTTGAAAAGTTTAATTATTTCACTATTACTTGACCAGATATTTCCTATGCAGTCAGTATAGTAAGTCAGTTCATGGGATGTCCTAGAGTACCACACTAGGAGGCAGTTACTCGTATTTTGCGATATCTCAAACGAGCTCCTGGACTTGGACTGTTATATCAAGCTAATGGACATCTTAGAGTTGAAGGGTTCTCAGATGCTAATTGGGTTGACTCTCCTTCTGATCGGAGATTAACCACTGGTTATTGTACTTTCTTAGGAGATAATGTTGTCTCATAGAAAAGTAAGAAACAATCTGTGATAGCAAGATCCAGTGCTGAGGCTGAGTATAGGGCAATAACACATACGACGAGTGAGTTAACTTAGCTATTACACTTTCTCCAGGAAATTGGGTTTCCAGTTCAACTTTCTTTACTGTTGTTCTGTGACAACCAGACAGCTATTCATATTGCTACTAATCCTGTGTTTCACGAAAGAACCAAGCATATTGAAGTTGATTGTCATTTTATTCGGGACAAGATAGTTGCTGGGGAGATTACAATTCCATTTGTGAAATCTGAAGATCAGCTTGCAGATATGTTTACTAAAGCATTGAGTCGTACACGCCTTACAGTTATTTGTTCCAAGTTTGGATTATATGATATATATAGTCCAGCTTGAGGGGGAGTGTTAAGAATAAAAGGGTAATATGTGTAAATTATTAATAGTAAGAGGGTGTATGTGTAATTTTTATTATTGTGGTTTAACTATAAATACAAGTGATGTATGAGAGTTAGGTTAACTTTTTAACCTCTCTCTGTTTCTCTCTAAAACTATGTTAATCTTCTAAACTTAACATAACCAATGGTGTAGAACTTTTTGTTTCAGAAACATAATGGTTCAACATGGTAGTATTGCGCTCCTGCGTCGAAAAAAGGGCATCCAAATTTTCAGGCACTAAAGCATGGCCCTTTAAGTATAGCAAAACTTGAGATATGCTTGGCCTGACTGCTGCCACAGGATGTGAACAAAGTAATCCAACCTTTAATACCAGTAGCATCTCCTCCACCTAAAAATCATTCTTTAGTTTGGGATCTGCCGTCTTCAAAATTTTTCCTCCTCTCAAACAGTCCAATACCCAGTCCACAAGAATCACCTCGTTAGATGATGCCTTCGACTCTACTGGCCTCCTTCTACAAGCAACCTCTAAGCAAAATGCACCAAATGCAAATATATCAGTGCTTGTAGTTGCCTTGCCATGTTTAGTGAGCTCTGGTGCAATGTAGCCCAATGTGCCGGCTAAATGAGTTGTATGAGAATCCTTTCCACGGGGGCTACATCTTGCCAACCCAAAATCTCCTAATTTTCCATTCAAGTCGCCATCCAACAACACATTGTTGGCCTTGATGTCTCTCTGAATAATTACTTCCACCCATTCTTCATGTAAGTAGGAAAGTCCAGAGGCCACATTCTTGATGATTTTGAATCTTTGATTCCAATTAAGAGTTGCCTTTGTCTTGTTGAAAAGAAACTTGTCAAGACTGCCATGAGACATAAAATCATAAACTAAAAAGAGTTCACCTTTTTGTCGACAATAGCTAAGGAGTCGCACCAAGTGGGGATGTCGCAGCCTCCCAATGGTAGCAATCTCTGCTAGAACTCTTTCATTCCTTGCCTTGAAGCATGTGAGATTCTCTTCACTCCAACTTGCATATTTGAAATGGGTAGGACTCCTCTATACAATGACCAAATCCTCCTCTTCCTAGAAGCTCATTTTCTCCGAAGCCTTTGGTGGCTACAAAGAGGTCCTTGTACAAAAACCTGTGAGGCCCATATTGAACCTCCCAATTTTTGAGAACTTCTGTTAATTTAGCTTTTCTTCTCATCAAGAGAAAAATGGCAAAGACTGTGAATGACAACGAGAGTACTCCTACAATGGAAAATCCAAATGTCAAAAGTATTTCTTTTTTATTAGACTTTTTTCTGTGTGGTATGTTGGGAAGTCGAGAAAGATCTAGTTCTGGGACTTTTCCATTCAACTGAAAACTCCAACCTAGAACATACTGAGACTGATTTGCACCAATGATTGCAATAAAGCCCACAAACATTTCATCTAAGAACACTGGCGAAAGATCTCTTTTTATAGTCAAGAGGGAATGATCTGGCTTACGTACGTTCAAAGGTGATATTGTGACATTGAGTTGCTTTACCATGCCATCATAGTCCACCCATGCTTGTATTGGCTCTCCACTTGCAAGTAGGGGTGTTCAAATTTTCAACCGGCCGCAAGTTCCTACGCTACGCAACCCTATCCTACCCTACTGAACGGTTAGCCGCAAAAATTGGGTAGGAATGCGGAAGAGTTTTTGGTCTTCTGACAATATTCGGGTAAGAATGCGGAATAACCATCTATTTTCGCATTCCTACCCTACCCTACCCGCAATAATTTTTTAATATATATATATATATATATATATATAAAACCCTAAACCCTAGCGGAACAATTATGATTTTAATGTATGTCATATGGTTTAAAGTTTAAATTTAAATTAATTGTTATTGTATTTGTGTAACAATTATGGTAGATTAATGTTCATACTTTCTTGTGTTTTATTATAATTCTTGTTGTAGTTGTTTTAGATTTTAGTGTTAATTGATTTATTGTGTTGTTAAATTGATGCATGTTATTTAATTAAATTGTTAAAATGATTCAAAAATTAATTGTTACAAAAATATTTACCCGATTTCCTACCCGATTAAGCGGGTAGGAAGTCGGGTAGGAATACCACACCTGTCGGGTAGGGTAGGTCAAGAAAAAACTTTTCCGCAAAGTATCAGGTAGGAAAACGAAAGAGCATATTTCCTACATGTAGGGTAGGGTGAACACCCCTAGTTGCCAGGGTGAGGTTTCTGAATGCACCCTTTGTGAAATAAGCTGCAGGAGTGGATTCTGTTGATCTTCTACTGTTAAGATTTAGACCAACATGGTTGTCATTGATATCCCCAACATCTAACTGTTGGGATGTGTCAAACTCGATATTGAAGGTATGTCTTTTTAGATCTCCGTCTCCTGTTTCATTGATCAAGCCATAAAGTTTGGATGATACAACTCCAGGGACCTCTTTTGAGGGCATAATCGAAAATGACAATCCAACTCCTTGATTTGGGTTTTGAAATTCAGGGACAATGCTAAAGACGAACATAGTGGAGAAAGAGGAAGCATTGCCTTTCGAGGAATTCTTGAAGCTTAGGGGAACTGAGTAGAGAACAGAGCTCACTCCCCAACTTGTTTGGTTAGCATGCTTTAAGAGACCATCAGGTGCTATCTCTGATATTTCACCTAGTTTCAAGATTTCATAGAAGGTGAAGCCACTATCACAGTTCACCACTTTAATCAGAATACATACCAACAAATAAACGTGGGCAGACATGGATGACAAATTGGATTCTCTCTGCAACTATACTTGCTCTATTTCTCTCTCTCTAAAACACAAGTTATAACTATTTAGGGTTAAGTTATAACTCAAAAAAAAAAAGAAAAAGAAAAGAGAGATTAATTCTAAAATGTCATTATTGGTCCATAATATCCTTGTCAGATTGAATCATATTCTCTTCAGCATCGTAGTCTTACCCTAAAACAAAATGAAAGTGGTAAAATAGCACAAAAATAATTCTTGGAAAGCAAGAACTGGACCAAGGTTGGATGAAACCTCGGATGAAGTATCGGACGAAGATCCGATTGGTTGAAACATTTCTTGGAGGTTGTTTGGATTGTTAGAGAAAACAAAGAATTGAATTGGAAGTTGTTCACAGTACACATATGGAAACACTTTCCTATCTTGAATTGGATTGGGTTAGAAAAACCAATTCAAACGCATCCAATTGACTTATTTGGGATAGGTTTACTTAGTAATATTATTCGAGTAATGATATGTATCCCAAATTTACATCTCAAATCAAGGAAGACCATTAGATTAATGGGTCTCATTTAAAAAAGTTGATGGGACCCATTGATCCAATGGTTCTCCTTGATTTGGGATACAAATTTGGAATACAAATTTAGGATACATAGCACATCTCATATTATTCCAAGCATAGTAGTTATTGAAACATTAAAAGCCATAAAGACTGTGAGGCATCCCTTGACTGTATCATAATTTTCACACCCAAAAAGTCGGTCTGGAAAACTATAGCTGCGAATGAGTCGCCACAAGAAATTGACTAACGCTTTAAACATTTAAGGCCGGCCAGGGCACAACTTAAGGCTATTTTACAAGAAATTGAAGGTAATTACAAGGCAAGCTATAATTAATATGTATTCCTCATCCTGCAAAGCACATAAAACCTACAAAATACAGCTACTTAACGCCCTGTTAACTCTTCAGTGACTGTTACCAATGGCGTAGAATGTTTTGTTTCGTAAACAGAATGGTTCAGCATAATAGCATCGAGCTCATGCGTCGAAAGAAGGGCATCCAAATTTTCAGGCACTGGAGCATAGCCCTTTAAGTACAACAAAACTTGAGATATGCTTGGCCTGACTGCCGCAACAGGATGTGAACAAAGTAATCCAACCTTCAATACTAATAGCATCTCCTCCACCTCAAACTCATTCTTTAGTTTGGGATCTGCCATCTTCAAGAGTTTCCCTCCTATCAAACAGTCCAGTACCCAGTCCACAAGAATCACCTCTTTAGATGGTGCCTTCGAGTCGACTGGTCTCCTTCCACAAGCAACCTCTAAGCAAAATGTACCAAATGCAAACATATCAGTGCTTGTAGTTGCCTTGCCATGTTTAGTAAGCTCAGGTGCAATGTAGCCCAATGTGCCGGCTAAATCAGTTGTATGAGAATCCTTATCCCGGTGGCTACATCTTGCCAATCCAAAATCTCCTAATTTTCCATTGAAGTCTCCATCTAACAACACATTGCTGGCCTTGATGTCTCTGTGAATAATTACTTCCACCCATTCTTCATGCAAGTAGGAAAGTCCAGATGCCACATCCTTGATGATTTTGAATCTTTTATTCCAATTAAGAGTTGCCTCTGTCTTGTTGAAGAGAAACTTATCAAGACTTCCATTAGGCATGAAATCATAGACTAAAAAGAGCTCACCTTTTTGTCGACAATAGCCAAGGAGTCGCACCAAGTTGGGGTGTCGCAGCCTCCCAATCGTAGCAATCTCTGCTACAAACTCTCTCATTCCTTGTCTTGAATCATGTGAGATTCTCTTCACCCCAACTTGCATATTTGAAACGGGTAGGACGCCTCTATACACCCGACCAAATCCCCCTCTTCCCAGAAGCTCATTTTCTCTGAAGCCTTTGGTGGCTACAAAAAGGTCCTTGTACAGAAACCTGTGAGGCCCATATTGAACCTCCCAATCTTCGAGTATTTCAGTCAATTTAGCTTTTCTTCTAATGATCAAGAAAAAAATGGCAAAGATTGTGAGTGACAACAAGAATACTCCTAAAAAGGAATATCCAAATGCCAAAATCATCTCTCTCTTTCTCGACTTCTTTCCGAGTGGAATAGTGGGAAGTCTAGAAAGATCAAGTTTCTTGGCTTTTCCATTTAATTGAAAACTCCAACCTAGAACATACTGAGACTGATTTGCACCAACGACTGCAATAAAACCCACAAACATTTCGTCTAAGAACACTGGCGAAAGATCAATTCTCGTACTTACGAGTGGATGATCTGGCTTATTTATGTTCAAAGGCGATATTGTGACATTGAGTTGCTTTACAGTGCCGTCATAGTCCACCCATGCCTGTATTGGTTCTCCACTTGCAAGGTTCAGGTTCCTGAATTCACCATTAGTGAAGTAACCCGCAGGAGTGGATTCAGTTGATTTGATGCTATTGACCCGAAGAGCGACATGGTTGTCATTGGTATCCCCAAAATCCGCCAATTGAGATGTGCCAAACTCGACGGCGATGGCATGATTTTTCGGGTCTCCATCTACTGTTTTATTGAGCAAGCCGTAGAGTTTGGAGGGTGATTCAGCTCCAGGGACACCTTTTGTGGGTATAATCGAAAACGACATTCCAAATCCGCGATTCGGGGATTGAAATTCAGGGACAATGCTAAATACAAACATAGTAGAGAAAGAGGAAGCATTACCTTTGGAGGAATTCTTGAAGCTTAGGGGAACTGAGTAGAGAACAGAGACCACACCCCAACTTGTTTGGTTAGCTTTCTTTAAAACCCCAAGAGGTGATATCTCTGATACTTCACCTAGTTGCAGGATTTCATAGAAGGTAAAGCCTCTATCACAGTTCACCACTGTCATCAGAATACATAGCAACAAATAGACTTGGTGGGCAAACATGGATGACAAATTGGATTCTCTCTCTCTCTCTCTCTCTCTCGCTTGTAGAGAAGTATGATATATCTGTGAAGTCCTGTATAGTCAATGGGGTTCATTGATATCCTGCTTGCAAGTTGCAAATCAATTCATATAGCAATAATGTTGGGGAGCCAACGACAGTCAAACCCACTATGTCATAGATGGACTGCTTGTGCTAGACTTCAAGTAGAATGAGATATGAATTGGTATAAATTCAGCGCCATATCAAAATTTACATATCAATAGCGATTACTTACAAAGACTTTAACACGCAACGTTGAAAACTCTTTTTCTGTCTCTCTCAAAGACAAGTGGTCGGTTGGGTAGTTGGTCAGTAGATATCAATCATTGCTAGATGCTCTGTTTGCGGTTATCTACATTATCAACTTACCTAACATCTCATTGGCAGAGTGAATTCACAAATAAGTAGCGAAATAAATTTGGGTTAATTGTACTAGAAGTCCCCAAAATATAGGATTTGCTTAATTTTGGTCTTTAATGTTTTAATTGCATCATTTTAGTCCCTGAAGTATTGAATATGTTTCTAAATGGTCCCTTAAGCAGACAGTGTCTAGATTACTAACAATTTTTTATCATAAACTTGTTACATAATATCTAAATATAGACAAAAAAATAATTTTAAGAGTTCTTAAATAAAATTTAGGTAGCTCTTGACAAAACAAATATGTAATATGAGTAGTTTTTGACCAAAATTTGGATAGCTCATGATCAAAATTGTATAATTTAGATAGTTATTTAACAAAATTTGAGTAAAAATTTGATTAAGAGTTATCTAAATTATTTTTTTGTCTATATTTGAGTATTACATAACAAGTTTATGATAAAAAATTGTTAATAATCTGGACGCTGTCTGCTTAAGGGACCATATAGAAACATATTTAATACTTCAGGGACCAAAATGATGTAATTGAAACATTGGGGACTAAAATAAGATAAACTCTATACTTTGGGGACCTTCACTATAATTAACCCAATAAATTTTCAAGAAATGCTATGTATCCCAATTTTTTATTCCAAATTTTTATCATAAATCAAGGAAGATCATTGGATCAGTGAGTTTCATTTTTAAAAAGTTGATGGAACTCACTCATCCAACGATCTCCTTTCATTTGGAATAGAGATTTGAGATAAAAATTTAAGATGCATAGTGTTTTCCTAAATTCTGTACCTCTCTTTATGTATAATTAAATAGGGGATTGACCAAATTCAATCAATGATAATAATATCAAGGGACATACTTACTGAAATTTGTCGTTTAATCACTCTTTGATATTTAAAATATTATACGTAGACACTTTGAAATTTATACGCGCATAACATTTAGACTCCTGTCATTAATGTCTATTAGTATATCCCTTAATAAATTATACCTAGACCCCCTGAAATTTATAGACTTATAATACTTAAATTTCTCAAGTTTTAAATGTTATATTTAGATAAAAAAAAATACTCCAATTAAAGATAGAATATAAAATATCTTAAATTTCACAACCAAAATTCATGTTCTATTATATCATTTATTGAAATAAAATCTAAAATAAAAATCTAAATTTTTCTTAAAAAATAATAATTAGTATATAATTACACTATTTATTGAAATAAACAAAAAATCAAACAAAGGTTCTAAGTCATTGATAGTAGAAAATGAATTTTACAATCAAAATTTATAATCTATTATGTCATTTAATGAAATAAAATCAAACATAAAAATCTATTTTTTTTTTAAAAAAAGTATAATTAATATACAATTATACTATCTGTTAGAATAAAACTAAAAAATCAAATAAGGGGTCAAAATATAATGTATATTATATCTTCTAACTTTTAATTAGGGTAATATGGTAGTTTAATTTGGTCATTTAAACGAGCAAATTAAATTTCAAAAAATAATATAATTTTATACTAATTATAATTTTTTAAGAAAAAAATAAAATTTTAGTTTTGATTTTATATCAATAAATGTTATAATATAATATGAATTTTGGTTGTAAAATTTAAAATATTTGATATTTTATTTTTAATTAGAATATTTTTGTTATAAGTATAACATTTTAAACTTGAAGTATCTAAGTATTTTATATCTACAAACTTTAAGGGATCTGAGAATAATTTATTAACTTGGATATTGAGGGTGGGAATCTAAGGGTTTCACATGTACAAACATCAGAGAGTCTGTGCATAATTTTTTAAATATTAAAATTTTGAGTGATTAAGTGATAAACTTCAATGTAATCTGTGTGTAATTCTCACTGAAATCAATTTACAAAGAAGACCCAAAAATTTACTTGATTTCTTTAAACCTATATCTCAATAACGGGTTTACAACAATCTTGTCTAAAATAATTTTTAAAATTCATTAAAGTATCAATAATTCATCACCTCAATATGAATATTAATTAAAAAAAAAAGAATAAATCCCACCTAATAGCAAAATATCACTGCATAATCTCTGCAAAATATCAATCTGAATTTTTTTATAATAAAAATAAATTAATCACTGCATAATCTCTGTCATTGTGAATAGCATATTAAAATTTTATTAAAACCAGACGTTAGATTTTGGCCCGAAAATCCGAATTTGTGAATAATTGTTTAAGTAATGATATGTAACCCAAATTTATATCCTATATTAAGAAGGATCATTAGATTAATGATCCTATCAATTTTTTTAAATAGAACCCACCGATTTGTCTTAAATTTAAATACAAATTTAGAATGTATATCATTACTCTAATTGTTTTTCTTCTCCTCCGTTTCGTCGCCAAGTCGCTGTTCCCGCCGCCTCTTTTATTGCTAGCAAAACCCTTTTCTAAATAAACATGCTGCCAAAGTAGGTTGTTCACGCCTATTTTAGACCATAAAAAAAAACAAAAAAAAAAACAAAATCCTCCTATTTCATGTGGTCCTTAATGGCCCACGTGGCACCACATGCCGTCCGTACAATTATTGATTAGGACCATGATTTATGGATTGAGCTACCACATAGGTTGAACTTAATCCAACATTTTAGTCTGAGTTACGAGTTACAACTCTAAAATATCAGTTATAACTATTTAGGATTAATGTATAATTTTAAAAAAAAAGACAAAAGAACAAGATCAATTTTAAAATATTATGATCAATACTGAAAACCTGCAATATATAATAATTTTGTTAGATTGAATAGTAATCTTATCTTTTTTTTTTTGTATACGTGACGACTGACACTATGGTCTTTCGCAAAATAAAAGAAAAAGTGATAAAAAAAATACAAAAATAATTCTTGGTTAATTTTTATAATTAAAAGAGTGAAAGATTTGGCTTATTCATGTCCAAAAGTGATGTTGTGACAATGAATTGGTTTACCATGCCATCATAGTCTACCAATCCTTGTATTGACTCTCTATATTTGTAAGGGTGAGGTTCCAAAATTCACCTTTTTCACAATAAAAACACTTGTAGGAATGTCTTTAGTCTATATCTAACATTATTGTCATTGTACCCAACTTCAAGCTCTTGGGATGTGTCAAACTCAATGGAAAAGAAGATGATACAACTCTAGGGACCTCTTTTAAGGGTATAATAGAAAACTCCACTCCCAATCCCTGATTTGGGTTTGGAAATTCAGGGATTATGCAAAATAAAAACACCGTAGAGAAAGAGGTAGTATTACTGTTCGGTGAAGGGCCAGATTTTGATTAGTTCCTAAGACTATGGAAATATAATTTTTCGATGTTGTTTTGACAAGGGTACCATTTGCAACCAACAGCCATATTCGTTCAAGAAAATGTGTCTTTTAATTAAGAAACAGGAACTTTCATAAAAATAATAGGTCGAATTAGGTTCGTTCTCAAGTAAAGTAATAGATGCGATCAGGGGTCTGATGATTCTACCAGTAAAAACTCATTAGGATGGTCTCTGAGCGTTTTTTTTTATCCCCACCTTTTTTTTTTCAAAAAAAAAAAAAAAAAGAACTTCCATGAAAGGGTATGTTGGTGACTCTTGGTTGTATTTATATAATGTCTCCAAAAAAAATACAATATCTTCTCTCTCTTCTGTGCTATAAATAGGTGAAATAAACGATTTGTTTTAGTCCACAGTTCTTAGTTTGACTTTGTCCTATAAAAAATTGATAGTCTCACATCACGTGCGTTGCAAGTGTGATATCAACTATCAACGGCAGCATGAGATTTTAATCTTCGAAGGGAGAATTTGAAAAATTCATAATTTTTTAGGAACAAAGTGTCATTCACCCATTATTCATAGTGCTTAAATTGAGTCTTGCCGTCGCACTTTACACTTTGGAGTCAGCACTTTAGAAATGCTAGAATCTTTAGGACCGAATTCAAGAATGTAAAAACCATCTTTAAATTCATTATTCTTATCAAGTGCAAATTTATCACTCTTAACTACCGGCATACTATAATGAACTTGGTCTTCATTAAGATGTAGAGTTACTCGGTCTCTAATGCTCTTGTTGGATTAGAGCTTTTTTTGCTTCTTTTATTTTAATAAACAGGTACAAGTTCTACAATTCTGAAATATTTTTATCCGTTTGAATTTTTTTTGAATCAGTTGTCATATGATAACTAAAAAACAACAATTTACTTGTATATTTTTCAAAAATTAATGAACAAATTTACTTACCCAAAATAAGAAACACTTCACATGGCGAAAACCAAATGCCTTCAAGTTGTGGTGTACATTTTTATCATATGCATCATATTTTTCACACCCAATAAGTCTAAATCTAAAAAACAACAGCTGCAAAGGTATAACTTAAAGCTACTTACAAGAAATTGAAAGGATAACTTTTTTTAT